AAACAGTTATCCCCACATCAGCATTGCCATAAAAGTTCCTAATGAAAATTTTTCTTTAAAGTTCAGAGGGAGGAACAGCTAAGGAAGGCTTCTTAGAAGAAAAACAAAACAAAACAAAAAACAAAAACTGTAGAGTGGTAAGTCAGTACAAAATGTATATATATATATATTTTTTAATTTTTCTTTTTTCTTTGGAGACATCTTCCAGCCTGTTTGCCTACTACATTGCTTTTCATTTTTCTTCTTTGCATCAGCCTGATGGTTTAAAATGGTTTTGGTACATAGCTGTGCTGTTATGAACACAGTAACATTCAGATCTGCTTCCAGATCTTCTTTGTTCGCGTTGTTTAACTGAACTCTTGATTCCTTGTTTTTCTTGATGCTCCTCTGTTCTCCATTTGAGCCTGAGGTTCATCCTGACTCTGTTGCAAACTGATGCTGTTTGTATCCATGCAGTACATGTCAAAGAAGGCTTTGAATTTCTGTAAGCTTCCGTAGGTGTGTATTGCAGTAGCCTTCCCATCTGCCCTTAAATTCATCCTTTCCCTACACTCAGTGAGCAGTTTTTTCCAATGTTGAAATAAGACCTTTTGGGACAAAGTTTAACTTTTTGTTCTAATATTTATTTTACGTGCTTGAAAGTACAAATCTAGCCTAGAGAATGTGTATTTTTGCTGTGTGTTAAGAGACTGAGATGACTATTAATTTTGCTCTTTGTAAAATGTAAATTACTGACAGAGTAACAAGGGGCTGTAACACAGGGTTTGGTGTATTGCTGTGTATGCTGCAAGTTACTGTAGCATTAACTTTGCTTCTTACCTAGGGCTGTGTAACATTTCAGATTTTGTTGCATCTGCTACAAAGCAAAGTTTTTATCTTCTGCCTTCATGTTAGCTTGTGTAGCTGACAGGTGAGCAGCAGGGTCTTGAGCAAAATTCTGGGTCAGATTCTGCATCTGACGGCCACTGCAATAAAGTCCCAGCCCATCTGCTGCGACAGAAACTGTGGATGCATGTTTTGCAGGCATTTTGCTGCTCCTGAGCTGCTAGTCTGCCTTGCTGGGGGAGCTGGTAGTGTTGCTGAAGTCAGGGGACTGGGGTAGTCTGGTAGGGGGACTGGTAGGGGCTGGCAGCATGCAAATAGTGCAACTTTATATGCTTTTCTTCTGAGGGGTGTTCCCAACCAGGCAGGCCACTTGGTGCATAGTATATATGTTTTTAGCAAGCTTCTTAAGGTGCTTTTTGCATGACTTTTGCAATTAGGATGCAATTAGCTTGTTCCTACTGTTGCCTTATTAGTTACTGTGGTGGGCTTAAACTCATTTGGGAAAGGATGTGCCCCAGAGGATGGTGCCATTGTATTTTATTTATTTTTTTAAACTGTTCATCTAGCTCCTGTTAGTTCAAAAGCTAGTTCTAGCTTTTGGTCATAATTTTTTCATAAAAACAGTAATTGCGTAGTGCCAGATTCCCACCTCTGGAGGGTAAAAGATGACAGCTACTACTGTCTGCTCTGAATGACCCTCTCTCTACATTAGGAGCCATTCAATTCAGCACCAAGTAAATATTCATGAAAATGTCCCGTTCCTAAAGCAGGGTCACTTGGAAAATGTCTATTCCATTATAAATATTGTAGACTTTTCTGTTTGCAGCTTCTTTCTGTTAGAAATTTTAATCAGAAAATGCAGACTAAATGCTCTTCAAAAGGAAAGATAATGAAACCGCTGCATCTTATTTAAACCACTTACTTGAAGCAGTGTATTTTTGGCCATTTTTAATATCTTTTTGTGTACCAATAGGTAGTCTTGGGTATTAACACGTCTGTGATAGATGCAGTCTTCAAATACTAACAGTTAGGAATGATGCGGTTCAGAAAATTTTTAGTTATGGCTCCGTTGTGAACTATAAGCTAATTTATATGCTTTTAGTTTCATTTCATATAAAAACAAAAAGAAAAAAAATCTATTTACCTGAAATTTCATCGGGGAATTACATTGAAAGAAAACTGTGTAATAAAATAATATGTAAGTTGCTGAAGGCCTGGCATGTGCGAGTATGCGGAGTGGTAATCTACATTGCATGAATAATTTTTTAAATTATTAGACTGACGAATATTCTCTTGCAGGGAACTATAGAGTAAATCTTATTGTAGTTATGACAATGTATTTTTAGTATCAACTAATTTTCAAATATGTCAAGCTAAGCTTTGCTTTTTTGGGAGGATGGATGGAATATTTGCAGATTAAAAGGTTTGTGGCTTACAAACTACGAAGCATAGTTTGGTTTGATGTGAATGCGCTGGAAAACCTGGAGTTTGGTTCATGAGGTGCCTGCTCCTTCAACAAGCACCTCCTGAGGTGTTTTTCTGCCATATTAGGTTGCCTGTATTGGAAGTCTCATTTTAACTAATCATCCTGAAATAATAATACGTGTTTCGGTTGTACTCACATGTGACTGAGTATGTATGCAGTCTGCTCTATGGAGATATTGAATTCTAAGATGCTGAGGTGTGGCAGGGATGAAACTGCTGCTAATGTGACCGGTGTGCTTATCCTTCTAATGCCTGTGTATTTTTGTTGTTAAGAGCATTTGGATGACTTGGTGGGCCTCTGAACTTTAATTTCTCCATTATTTCTCTGTTGAAGGGTAGAGGCTTTTGAGGCCATGTAGCTGTTGGTTCAGATGTACCCCTGGGGTTTAATCAGAATATTGTTGGGCTCACAAAATCCCCAAGCTGGTTCATCTCATGTATGTTCCGCTGCTTCTCCCCAGAATGAACTTGCAGTCGATTTTCTTAGGCTCTGTGGTGCTCCTTTGCTGTCATTTAGACCAAGTTTCCCAGATCCTTTCAAATCCTTCGCAGTGCTTGATTCCTGTAAGAAAAGCATCGCTTTCTTGCTGCGGACCCCCAAACTACAGGGGTGGTCTGACACTCACCATGCCTCAATTCCTTATGGACTCTCGTGGGCATTCTTACAAACACTCCGCTTGAAAGGTTGGCTTTATTTTATCAGGCAGAAAGCCTCATTTTGAGCCTTGGAATGAAAGAAATGGCTGAAATTGTAATGCTGGTTGATATGACTAATGTGAAAGCTTTTATTATGCTTTCTTCTTCAGCATGCTGTTTGAGTAATGCTAATAATTAGTGGCTTTGTTATGAGGGTTTCGGGGCCCTGTGGGGGTGGCTGAGACCAGAAGAGCAGTACTTAGTCAAGGCACAGCACAGAAAAGCGTAGCCATGCCATAGCACAGAAGGAGCGAGTGAGGAAAGCGGGTATCTGTCATCTAGGCAGCCTTACGGATTGCCGGCTTCTTTGTTGCTGAAAGCAAAAACAGCACAGACGTAGCTGTTCTTTTTGTGGCTTTGATTGGCCTGCACAAGGAATTAGAGTGATGGTGTGTGAAGTTAAACTAAATTTCTGGAGACAATCAGGTTTCTGCAGCAGTCCGAGCCCGTGCCTTCCTGCAGACAGTACTTGAAGGCCAGCCTGCTTCACATCCCGTGTGGCAGGGGGTCAGTGCTGGTGGCCTTTGATGCCTAGTTGTACATTTTGTTGAAATAACTCCAAAGCTATCGAACGCATAGAAAACATTTTAAATGTTGAAGGATTAAACCTGTGCTCTATATAACCTTGAGGCTTACTTGAAAAGCACCATGACAGGGGCAGAATGTCTGCAAGGCCTACGGACTGGTTTGGGCTTCTGACAGCCCAGTCCGGTTCTTTTCCAGGAAGCCGTGATCCACTCATGGATCCTGTCCTTGAAAGACTTGTATCATACTCATATTTCAAAACCACAAAACTCATCGTAATGCATAAGCTCTGCAGGCAGCTGGGCTACGTCCATGTTAGCAAACAGTTCAGAAATGAAGCACTGAGGAGCCGGTGTCCACCCGTAGGTGCTTTGAGAGGCTCTAGTTTTGTCTGTTTGTCTGAGTTTAGCATCCTCACTTGCTCATTTGCACAAGCTGCTGTAGGGGCCTTTACAAAATGCCATAGTGTGATAGTTACAGCCTGAAGGGAGGCTTGGAGGCTCCACCTGGGTGTGACCGATGGTGTGACAAACTGTAGTTGTTGAGACTGAATCTCAGGAAAATCAGGGGAAACACTTCAGTGGTTTTGTTGCTCATTTCCTGTCATAGCATTACGCTCACGGTGGCCCTTCAGCAGCCTGGGCTGGTGGGAGGTGTCCCTGCCCGTGGCAGGGCTGGAATTTAGTGATTGTTAAGGTCCCTTCTGGCCCAAACCCTTCTGTGACTGAAGAGAATGTGTGGGTTCTACTATGTACCCATCTGGACAGTCTCCCACAGAGATTTAGATGATGAAATTTGTGTTTTCATAAGAACCTGTATCCGTATAAGTTCGTCACAGTTTAGAACTTTGGACTCTTAACCCCATTGCATGCCAAGTCAGAACTGCATGTATAATTTTGGGCATGCTAATATAACTTTTAAATTTCCCAGTTAGTCTTCCAAGAAATGAATTGGTGATGTTATTCCTGTAATAGTGGTGCTTCCTCTGTTGAATGTGATTGTCTTTGGTATTTGATTAATACTCAGGGGATCACTGCAGTATCACACTCTTGTATCCTCCAGTTTGTGTCATTTAATAGAAATATAATAAACTACGTAATAAATCCTTGAACTTCTTGTTTGTACAGCCTTTCAGTTTTGTATATGGAAGATATTTCAAGTAGCTCTGTTATTCTTTGTGTTATAGATGTAGCTAAACTCAAAGCTAAAAGGGGATCTTGCAATTGCCTGAGATCTATTTTCATTTCAAAACTATCTAAAATTATTTACAAAACTAGTTACAAGATTTTTTTTTTAAACTTCTCTACAAATGGATTTCATCAGATTTCGAAGGAAAAAGTTTGGATTTTTTTTTTCCAACAAAATGGTCATTAGGGCGGGATGTGGTTGTGCTAAACTTCATGTGGTATTATTGAGCTTAGTGGGTGGACAAATGGATAAATCTTGCCTTTTTTTTTTTTTCCTTGCAGGTCCAAGGAGCTAATAAAGGAAGCAATCCTTGACAATGACTTCATGAAGAATTTGGAACTGTCACAGATCCAGGAGATTGTGGATTGTATGTATCCCGTGGAGTATGGCAAAGACAGCTGCATCATCAAGGAGGGAGATGTGGGTTCCCTGGTGTATGTCATGGAAGGTATGGTTGAAAATGCTAACAGTTCTTTTCCTTTTATGCAACATATGCAGATGAAAGCTGTATTTCATGGGAAAAATCATTTTGAAGAAAGAGGTTAAAAACGTTGTCTAAATATGGCTGTCGAAGAATTGTGTGGACTACTTTTGCCTGGAAAATTCCATACCAGAAATGTGTGCTTCCCTATATAAAGAAAGAGGGTTAAAGCTCTTAACCCAGCACTGAGATCTGTTGGAATAAGCCTCCATTAAATATAGTTCTTTGGCTTTGAGGCAATATCAGTTCTTTGCTGTATACATTAGGGACGTAACAGAAATAATGGTGTTATGAAAATGGGAAATCATGGTAAAACAAGTAGAATGTGGTAATAGCTTGCTACCTTATAGGGTATTGAGAGAATGAGCTTTTAAATAGTGTCAAAGCATGCGGGATCTCTGCAGAAGCAATGTGTTTCATGATAGAAAGTAGTATTTTTCTGCCTTGCGCACAAAATAAGTGTATCATCTGCAGTTTAGCATGTCTGATTTGTCACACACAGTACGTGTCATGGCAGGGTTCTGTCTTCCTGGTGGAACATGAGAGCAGCAGTGGTGTTCTGTTGTTCCTGGGAGCCATCAGGTTTCTGAAAATCTTTTAGCTGGATGGGTGTTGACAGCACTCTGCTTTTCCAAAACGTCAGCTATTAGCATTCTGTCTTATTCTTTCCAAGTTCTCTAAATTTGTATGCTGAATTGGGCATATTTTATGTATATTTTCACAGGAATTCTATGTTCATCTATAGGAGTTACTGAGCTCGATCAAGCCTCATGTCCATCTACTGTTGCATCCCTGTTCTAGCATCTAATAGTGTTGTGAAGCAAAATTGCTGTTTTAATTCAACTATCACAACAAATAAGTTGTTGGTTTGATTTGGTACAATACACATGAATAGATGCTTACAAAATCTCTTTGTGCTGCTGACACACTTGCAAGCATTTTGACCAGATAATACACAACTGGAACTGAGGTTTCCTGCTTGCCTTTTGAGTGAATATGAGAAAACTCCGGATTATGTATAATTTGTGTGTTTATATATATTTCTACATGCACAAATAAATTTCTTAAATTGTTCTGTTAAACAGAAATATTCTCAAGGCAGTAAGCCATTCTTTAAACATGGTTTCCTGCCAAAGTCTTAATGTTGTATAGTTGCAAATGGTCTTTAGTAGTTTCAGAAAACAGCTTTAAGGTTTTGCCCTTTTAAGGTTAAATTCTTTCTCAGGGCACAGCTTTAATTTCATTAGCTTTTAATATTTATACATTCTGCACACTCAAATGGTATTTTGCATTAGGAAGTAGTTAGTGGGAGATTCCAAAGCAAACAATATGTTCCCACCCTAGCATTATGTTGGAAAGATGTAGGTTTTTCGGTCCTACTCCATTTGAATACAGAAACTATTTTGATGAAGTGCAAGATCTGTCCTACCGGTAAGAACATACTGTTTTAAAACAATACCTGAATATTATTTTTTTTTCTATAGTGAAGTGTTTTTGTAGTGCAGTTTCTTATCAGACAGTTCTGCGTTTGTTTGCCAAAATGCCATCATGTCAGAGGCATGCTTGTAGTTTTTCTGCTGCATGACTGCTTTTGGATGTTATGTTCAGCATTGTCCCTTGGATAAGCCCTATAACAACAGAGCGCCTTCACAATGAGCGCATACTCATCTTCTGTTGTGTCCTTGCATCCGTTGGAGAGTATTTTTGGGGCTTTGTGAGCAGACCTCTTTCCACCATGGCTTGGAGTGTTGAACATAGCTGGGTACTCAGATGACTGTTATTTGATGTATGTGATGGTGTGCTACTGCTTTGACTTCCCTGAATTTAAGAAATGTTTCTAACTGTTGCTTCAAACTCCGTCCCCTGATTCTTGTCTTCTAAAACAACTGTATGTGGAAGACAACATCGTGTCATTTGGGCTCTTTAGCTTACCCTTGCTCGTCGGGCAGCTCCCTGTGTATGAGGGCATGACTTGGCTCTCCCCCAGTATTTGTTCAGTCTTGTAATTTAATTTAAGATTATTTAGATAGCTATGTAAATATGCATAATGCTTTACAAACAAAATTATGAAGAGTTTATAGTCTTCGGTTAGACATAATGCAATGAGTGATGATGAAGTAATGGAAATGGGAGATGATGTTGTCAAATGGGATGGGTTATGGTTATGACAGCAGGCTCATTTGCTCATTTTGGCTTATCACTCTATCTCTTCAATTATTAAACAGACAAAAAACTACAACCAACTACAACTTTATTCTTTATAGAGTTCTGCTGGAAAAACCTGTCTTTATGAAATTAGTGAGACATATTTTATTTTCTCAAAAATTGCATAAACACTGCGAATGTTTCTTCCATGTATTCCTCTTTCCTTCCTTGCTTGGGGTTATAAGTGTGATGAATATGAATTAAAATTGCTCATGAAGATAATTTGATAACCAGTACTATCAGGCAAGATGCTAATTTATGATTTAACATTTAGATAGAGCCTCTTACCAGAAGTCTGAGATACATTGGTGATGTTTCCTTAGACTAATTGTAAATCATAATTTAAGTAAGATGGATTTGAAAACATCCATCACTTTCACTGTTACTTTCTGCATTCTCTTTTATTACTGTAAAGCGGCCATAGTCTCCATTTTAAGTTTCTGCTTATCCTTGTAAGGCTTATTAGACCTGAATATTCTGCTAGTCTTGGTGAGACCTTTATAATTATGATCCTTGAGTGTTTTGGTTCTTTGACCTGGGTGTTAGTATACTTACCTCTGTGACACTTGCTGAGCCCAGGGAATCTTAAAAGGCTGAATAATGATGAGTGTTAAAACCCAAACTCTTCTTTCTTTACTGTAGCTTGATTACAATTTCTGAAAGTAAGTCCAGACTTGCTATATTTTTGGGTGGAAATGGCTGTAGCGCTGTACCTCAGCAAAGTGTCAGGAGAAGTCTTGACTCTACTTTCCCATGTTCTCTTTGGTTCTATCAGAAAGGTAATTCGCTGCTGCCTGATACCAGGTTTGCACGAACAGTCACTTTCATTCATGCATTTGCCCATTAGTACCCGTGATAGCAGGTTTGACTCCTTGTGTTCTTTGTCCTATTATTTTTACCTTGTGTCTGGTGTCCTGCCCTCCTGGTATTTCTTTTTACGATCAGGAGCCAGAGCAGCGCTGGGTTACTGAGGTGAAATACTATCAGAGGGAAAGCAGCATAAGGTTGAAAGAGAAAATGTGCTCTCCATCTCCAGCATGCTGTTGTCCAGTGTGAAGAGGGTAGGAGCATGGCTCTCACGTGTACCATGCTTCAGCTGGATGACATTTTGTTCTTCAGGCCCAACAGGAGGGAAACATCCACCATTGAGGAGCTCTTAATCTAAACACCCTCAAGCCTAAATGTTCACTGATCAGGAGCTGGCTTTAGAGGGTGTTTGTATAGAATAGCTCTTCAGTTGGGCACGGCTAAGCTAGATGTGCAGTTAGTTACCATGTTGAGAGGATGAGACTAGTAATATTCTCAATCACGTCTGTAAAAGTAGGTCTAGTAGACTTCCCTCTTCTGGCTATGTGTCTGGACTTTTGGACTGGCTCTATGTTTCTTCATTCAGAATTTTTTTTTGTAAAGGCTTTTGTTTGTTGTTGTTAAAAAAGTTATTGAAATACAGGCAGGATTTTTAAGTGGAAGATTACCTGGTTTTCTGGGGGACTTCTTCACGGGCTTTCATGAGGTACAGCCGTTAGAAGCTACCTAGCAAGAGCTGTGCTTGTTGGAGAGCCCTCCTGGGTCACTCTCTAGGACAACCCTGCTGCACAGTGCCACATGGTGTCCTGAGCACGAAAGCCTGAGGATCATTGCTTCTCGTGCAACAGCCAAAAACTGCTCTTATAACTGTGCTTTGAAGGTGAAAATTAGTTGTGGTATAAGTAAGCATTTATTCTGGGCATAAACTGATGGAAAAAAAAATACCACGCGTGCTCTGACCACCTACAGCAGAGGCATGCCTTCAGGGTGTTTGAAGCTGATATTGAAGAGAGGGATGAGTGATGTTGTAGCTTCTGCATCTGAACTAGTCTATGCTGGCACTCTGACTGCAAGTAAAGCAATTTTGAGGATAAAATAAGCTAACCAGAAATACCTGCCTTTTTGTTAGTAAGTATGCTGCTCATACATACTAATATGAGCAGATGTTGAACAGACTTTTGTCTTATTATTTTTTTGGTCTGAAAGAAACCTCAGTTTTATCTCTGCTGGTCAGTCATATTCTGTCTCTAGAATTAGGCCATTACCTCCAGTTTTCTTTAAGGGGAAAAGGAAAAAGTGTTATCCAGGCTCATGTTTTGCAGGTTTGGATTGGTTGTCTTGAAGCCTTTTTTGGGTATTGCATTTCTGAAACTTTCTGAAAGCACTTAAAAATGTGAAAACCTGGAAAGGTCTCTTTCTGAGAGATGCATCTAGATCTGTACCGTGTTGACAGCCTTGAGTTATGTGTGGGTGTTACCTCACACTAATGAGGATAAATGTGATATCCCACATCTGAAACCAAATGTTTCCTCTTGCGCTACCTCTCTGTCTGAACCTGTCAACTGCAGGATGTCATGTTTGATGGCTGCATTATGAAAGGAAAATATATTGGCAGAGCTGTAGATGAACCAGGTGACAACGTAGAAGTTTTAGGCTCTCATGTGGATAACAGTCATGCCACTATAAACAGTTAAAATTTTTTGTTCTGATTTTTTTAGAAACTATATTATTAGGTTTACAGAGCCCTTCTTTCATGCTTGTTGCTATTCCGATGAAATATTGAAATAAGTAACAGAGTGAGTTGTGTGGAGGGGATTTAAATTACTTGAATGAACTATTTTGTGGCTTATCCTTTTGTGTTGGCAGTGGGGGCTGTAACATCCTCCCTGATTGCTTGTCCTGCAAGTTGGTACTGAGGTTGCAGCCCTGCCAACACCCATTGGGCTCCTGGCGCT